TATTATACATGTATATTGTACATTGTATACTTGCTATATATTGTACACTTGCATTATACATGTATATTGTATATATAGCAAACATATGATCAACGAAGTTTCGCGTCGAATACCATTTGAATGATTATTTCCAATGCTATGTGATTTACAAAGTGATGGTAGATGATGCGAAAAATGTTTTCAAGGCCAAGAGTATATATAAGTTGACACGTTCAAAACTTGGAAGTTTAGTCAATTCGAGATGCGATAATGAAACTAAAGGTGAGAAATGATTTTGCAACTTTTGGCGCGTGTTCGAATGTTTCTTTTTTTCTTTTTCTTTCTTTCGTTACTGTTATCTCTTGTTAATTTTTTTTTTCTCCCCCCTTTTACACGCGAGAGTGAGAAAGATTCAACGGCTCGTGAATGCAGCAGGAAGACGAAGGTTTCGTCACAAGCTTCTACGAGTTTGTCGCGATGAATGGCACTTCTTGCTCGTCAATTGTTAGACTACCTAACTAAGAGAGACGAGACACGCGTCGCACCGAGCAGACGGAGGCGCGACAAGAGCTCGCTTCGAATGCTAATTAACGACCTGGCTCCTTTTCTCGGCAAGAGGCCACTGACATCGAACGTAGCCTTCCACGAGACGAAGAAAGAGAGACTGCATACCTACACGCGTGCGTATTCTTACGTGGTCGCTTTCGAAAGTGAGAATGATCGCGAACATCGCCTCTGGCAAAATGTGACGATGTGATGTTAACACACTATCAACCACACGAAAATGTGTAACTTTGCCTCTCTACTATTTTCCTACAGACATACAAAACAAAAGACTTGTCATTTCTATCAAGACAAATGACTCCAGGCCTCCAGAGTTTGATGACCGTGTGCTGCAGCTTCTGAAAACTAGCGTGCGTGACACGACAATTGTTGTCTTTTGGAGAGAAAAAAAAAAGAACTGCTCACACCTTCGCCGAAATTAATTCAGAGAAATTTATGGTTGCAAATTGTCTGAATCGGGGCCTCTCAAAATTTTCCGCTTGGCTTCACCCGAGCGAATAATTGATGATCGATGATAAATCGTGACGGAAATTCATTCGAAAATAATTCTTTGGTTTCCTTTAGTTTTGTTGAAATTTCTGCGACCCCGAAATTTAGAGAAGCCTCTGAATTGCCTGCACAATTGTGAGACATAAAAATCTAACTTTTCATCGATAAACGTTAGTGCAATTGTTAATTACAGTATGAACAACCATGGAGAGATAATAATCGTAAATTCATAAATTTCTCCCTCTAATTTACTCACGATGCTTTTGACAGCCTTCGACGTTCTCTGGCCAGTCGCAGGACCTGGCCCTCTCGTTGTACAAAAGACCACCGATGCACAATTGTTCGGTGGCGGTGCCGTTCCAGCAGGTCCAGTACCGTGTGCAGGACGTCTCGTGGCCGAAAATGCCATAAAGCCAGTCGCAGTGCTCAGCCGGAATCGGTGGATTCGCCTGGCGTTTCCCGTCGCAGTAGTTCGCTCTCCATGGATAATCGCAGCCCTCGGTCACGCCACGATGCTTCCCAGCGAAAACAAGACCGTTCGGGCAGTCGAACAACTCGGGACGACCGTTCACGCACTCCCAATAGCGATCGCAGTACTCTATGTCGCCCACCACTCTGGATTTCGTTTGACACGGATCTTCCTGCTGCTGCTTCTGGCCGTGCGATCCTGTTAACAGGGGCGAATGCATGTGAATTGTGAAAGGAGGTTGGCCATAGAAATTAATTTCATACGTGTACTGTATGCTACGTATATTGTATATTACGTATACTATATATTAAGTATACTGTATGCTACATGTATATTGTGTATTATATATGTTATACACTAAGTATATTGTATGCTACATGTATACTATTTATATTGCAATTACGTATACTAAGTATACTGTATGCTAGGTGTATTGTATACATTGTATACATTGTATGTTACGTATACTATATACTAAGTATGCTACATGTATATTGTATATTACGTCTGTTATATTGTATGCTAAGTATATTGTATGCTACGTATACTGTATACATTGTATATTACGTATATTATGTTCGAAGTATGTTGTACGTTACATGTACTGTATACTATTTATACTGAGTATACATGTATTGTATACTAAGTATACTGAGTATACTTACGTATACTAAGTATACTGTATGCTAGATGTACTGTATACATTGTATGTTACGTATACTGTATACTGTATGCTAGGTGTACTGTATACATTGTATGTTACGTACACTGTATACTAAGTATACTGTGTGCTACGTGTACTGTATACTACGTATATTGTATATTACGTATACTATATACTAAGTATATTGTATGCTACATGTATTATGTATCTTATACACTAGGTATATTGTATGCGACATGTATACTATTTATATTGCATATTACGTATACTAAGTATACTGTATGCTAGGTGTACTGTATACATTGTATATTACGTATATTGTGCACTAAGTATGTTGTACGCTACATGTACTGTATACTGTTTATATTGCATATTACGTATACTAAGTATACTGCATGTTAGGTGTACTGTATACTATGTATTAAGTATACTGTGTACTATGTGTACTGTATACCACATATATTGTATATTACGTATACTGGATACTAAGTATACTGTATGCAACACGTATATGTTTGTATATTACGTATATTATATTGTATGCTACATGTCCTACTGTATACTACGTATATTGTATATTACGTATACTATATACTATATACTATATACTAAGTATACTGTATGTTACATGTATATTGTATATTACGTATATTATATAATAAGTATACTGTGTGCTACATGTACTATATATTACGTATGTAGGTAGTATACATAGTTCTTGGTGAGCGCTAGATGTTGCGACAGGAGGATTAAAACTACCAAAACGAAAGGCGGTATTACAATAGAGGGAGAGTTGTGAAATGAATTTACATCGCGAGTAAAGCGTTGCTTGTCCCACGATGGCACGGCCGGGCCGCGTAATCGCTTAACCACAAGAGGTTACAACCACGAGGCAAGCGGTCGTAATATCTCCGCTAATGGGCGCAATTCGATGTCCGAGACCAGGTAGAAAAGTAAATACACGGCAGAGTAAGGTGGGAAGGCGGCTCGTAGCTCGCTCCCAAGAGAGCACTCTTGGGCCGGGCGCGAGTGAAAGTGTCTAGCCTTGACTTGCAACCTTCAGCCCACGCCCCCTTTTCCTTTATCCCCTTTGTGCTCTATAAAATCGATTCGTCGGCTTTTCTATTCTGTTATCTCTATTCTCACCTCCCTCGTCCGATGTCGAACGTCGCTCCGTCGATCAATTAAACCGAGGAAAATGACCGAACGTGAAAGAAATTGAGGGAAGAGGGAGAAGTTGCTCGGTCACTTTCTCGTGTCCAAAAGCGAACGAATACACGCGGTTCGTTTTACATAAAATATCTTACGAGTACGATGTATCTCTTTCCTCGTTTCGAAATATTTTGGCGTAAAGAACATTGAAGTTCAAGAGATCAGAGAACAGACGTAGTTGAAGAAATTTTAGTCGCGCGTTCTGAAATTGAAAAAAAAAAAAAAATAAGTAACGAAAAATAATTTTTTTAAATGAAAAAGATTAAAAGACAGTAAGTAACGAATGTTCTTCGTTTCGTCGACAAAGCGACTGGTATATTCTTCGTGTCCCTTTTTTTTTCGAAATGTAAAACAGAAAAGGCTCTAAAAAACGATGCGTTCAAACGAGTTTTAGAATGCTGGAATGAAGACTCATTTGAAGCAGGTAGCTGAATGTCAAGGATGATTCTTCTACGACATATCTCATCGGATATGGATCACGGATACTCGTGGCTCTTTCCAGACGATATTTTCCAAACTCTGGAATATATACACCGTGGAACGTTGTTCCTTGCAGAGGAGCACTGATACGCAGAACGCAACAATACGCCGTGTTAGAATAGTTGACGAGATTGTTAGATGTAACTTTCGCACATTTCAATCTGAAGGAAAAGAAAGGGACAAAAATAAAAGTCTAAAAGTGAGGTTAGACAAGGCTGGAGAATTTAAACTTACTTTGCGCAACGAATTTAGCAATATGCTTCGAATGCATTTACGTTAATAATAAGCGTTAGGCAGAAACGTTAAAT